CAACCCAGAGTACACTGTCCGACACAGAGGTGGTGTAACAGACAACCCAGAGTTCACTGTCCGACACAGAAGTTGTGTAACAACCAACCCAGAGTTCACTGTCTGACACAGAAGTGGTGTAACAGACAACCCAGAGTTCACTGTCTCACACAGAAGTGGTGTAACAGACAACCCTGAGTACACTGTCCAACACAGAAGTGGCGCTCTTGATGAAGGCTATGTATATCAATGGATCAGTTGGAGACTTAACCTAATAGTACAGTACACTGTCCAACACAGAAGTGGTGCTCTTGATGAAGGCTATGTATATCAATGGATCAGTTGGAGACTTAACCTAATAGTACAGTACACTGTCCAACACAGAAGTGGTGCAAAAGACAACCCAGAGTTCACTGTCTGACACAGAAGAGGTGTAACAGACAACCCAGAGTTCACTCTCCAACACAGTAGTGGTGTAAAAGTCAACCCAGAGTACACTGTCCGACACAGAGGTGGGGTAACAGACAACCCAGAGTTCACTGTCCAACTGAGAAGTGGTGTAACAGACAACCCAGAGCACACTGTCCAACACAGAAGTGGTGTAACAGGCAACCCAGAGTACACTGTCCAACACAGAAGAGGTGTAACAGACAACCCAGAGTACACTTTCCAACACAGAAGTGGTGTAACAGACACCCCAGAGTACACTGTCCGACACAGAAGGGGTGTAACAGACAACCCAGAGTTCACTGTCCAACACAGAAGTGGTGCTCTTGATGAAGGCTCTGTATATCAATGGGTCAGTTGGAGACTTAACCTAATAGTAGCTATATAATGTACTTATGTCTGACCCCTCCACTGACCTTTACCAGTTATGTGGTGTAACAGACAACCCAGAGTACATTGTCCAACACAGAAGTGGTGTAACAGACGACCCAGAGTAGACTGTCCAACACAGAAGTGGTGTAACAGGCAACTCAGAGTACACTGTCCGACACAGAAGTGGTGTAACAAACAACCCAGAGTACACTGTCCGACACAGAGGTGGGGTAACAGACAACCCAGAGTTCACTGTCCAACTGAGAAGTGGTGTAACAGACAACCCAGAGGACACTGTCCAACACAGAAGTGGTATAACAGACAACTCAGAGTACACTGTCCAACGCAGAAGTGGTGTAACAGACAACTCAGAGTTCACTGTCCGACACAGAAGTAGCGTAACAGACAACCCAGAGTACACTGTCTAACACAGAAGTGGTGTAACAGACAACTCCGACACAGAAGTTGTGTAACAACCAACCCAGAGTTCACTGTCTAACACAGAAGTGCTGTAACAGACAACCCAGAGTACACTGTCTGTCCAACACAGAAGTGCTGTAACAGACAACCCAGAGTACACTGTAGTACACTGTCTAACACAGAAGTAGTGTAACAGACAACCCAGAGTACACTGACCAACACAGAAGTGGTGTAACAGACAACTCCGACACAGAAGTTGTGTAACAACCAAACCAGAGTTCACTGTCTGACACAGAAGTGGTGCAACAGACAACCCAGAGTACACTGTCCGACACCGAAGTGGTGTAACAGACAACCCAGAGTACATTGTCCAACACAGAAGTGGTGTAACAGACACCCCAGAGTACACTGTCCGACACAGAAGTTGTGTAACAACCAACCCAGAGTTCACTGTCTAACACAGAAGTGCTGTAACAGACAACCCAGAGTACACTGTCTGTCCAACACAGAAGTGCTGTAACAGACAACCCAGAGTTCACTCTCCAACACAGAAGTGGTGTAACAGTCAACCCAGAGTACACTGTCCGACACAGAGGTGGGGTAACAGACAACCCAGAGTTCACTGTCTGCCAGAGTTCACTGTCCGACACAGAAGTAGTGTTACAGACAACCCAGAGTACACTGTAGTACACTGTCTAACACAGAAGTAGTGTAACAGACAACCCAGAGTACACTGACCAACACAGAAGTGGTGTAACAGACAACGCAGAGTACACTGTCCAACACAGAAGAGGTGTAACAGACAACCCAGAGTTCACTGTCCAACTGAGAAGTGGTGTAACAGACAACCCAGAGCACACTGTCCGACACAGAAGTGGTGTAACAAACAACCCAGAGTACACTGTCCAACACAGAAGTGGGGTAACAGACAACCCAGAGTACACTGTCTGTCCAACACAGAAGTGCTGTAACAGACAACCCAGAGTACACTGTCTGTCCAACACAGAAGTGCTGTAACAGACAACCCAGAGTTCACTCTCCAACACAGAAGTGGTGTAACAGTCAACCCAGAGTACACTGTCCGACACAGAAGTTGTGTAACAACCAAACCAGAGTTCACTGTCTGACACAGAAGTGGCGTAACAGACAACCCAGAGTACACTGTCTGTCCAACACAGAAGTGGTGTAACAGGCAACCCAGAGTACACTGTCCGACACAGAAGTAGTGTAACAGACAAACCAGAGTTCACTGTCCGACACAGAAGTAGTGTAATAGACAACCCAGAGTACACTGTCCAACAAAGAAGTGGTGTAACAGACAACTCAGAGTTCACTGTCCGACACAGAAGTAGTGTAAAAGACAACCCAGAGTACACTGTCCAACACGGAAGTGGTGTAACAGACAACTCAGAGTTCACTGTCCGACACAGAAGTAGTGTTACAGACAACCCAGAGTACACTGTCCAACAAAGAAGTGGTGTAACAGACAACTCAGAGTTCACTGTCCGACACAGAAGTAGTGTTACAGACAACCCAGAGTACACTGTCCAACACAGAAGTGGTGCTCTTGATGAAGGCTATGTATATCAATGGGTCAGTTGGAGACTTAACCTAATAGTACCTATATAATGTACTTATGTCTGACCCCTCCACTGACCTTTACCAGTTATGTGGCTAATGACCTTCACAAGATACGTCTGTCTACATTATTACTAATTGATGAACCTACCACATTTTTCACACATTATATACCATAATTTTGGTGTATGATTTATTGAGTCTATGAGCCTTGATAATTAATACCTGTTCTTATATTTCTGTTCATACTGCTCCAAATGAAAATAACAATAATTTCACTGTGATTGCATGAGTGCAACACACTCAAAACTATAAAAAAAACATCTTCCTAGTAGTCACAAGTTTTTACGCATAGCTCTAGTTTATGAAAAGTTGAGATGTAAATTTAACATCATGCTAATTTTGGAGAACTCTGCAAGAATAAGTCTACATAAAAATATCCCAATTCATAGTATGTGCATGCAGAACCAGTTATAAAATGTTCACTTGAATTCAAATATTGCAGACAAAAGATTTTATTTATCATATAAGTACAAAAAAATGTAGCATTTTACTGTCATAAATCAGACTGAGTTTTTTAATATTGAAACACCTTCCATCAGGAAAACATAAACTTTCCACGGTTGATAGATGTTTTCTTAACAAAAACTCACTTTTAAATATTCGTAACACAACTCAAATGCAAGCATTATAATCAATTAAGAAGACAGACATCACACAGGGCAATAAAACGTACCTAATCAATCGTTAAAAGATTGATAGACATAGAGTTGTTTACACCACACCTGCCTTTAATTACCGACAAACAAATGAAAATCTTAGAAGAAACAGACACTTAGACATTCCTATTACGTAACGCAAATAAATCATGCATACAATATTGTATCATCCCTTCAAGTTATATTTCATCAAATGAATATTCATGATCATTAACATTTCTGTTGAAGAATATATATCTACATTTATTATTGATGGATTTTTCGTATACATATATATATATATGTAATGCTGGAAAATTGCACTGTCAGACCTAAGATCAAACAGCTAGATTTCACCAAAAACCTATGGTGTATAAGAGGTTGCATACTTTTTAATATTTTTTAAACATGTACTATAAATGGGCTTTTTTCCTGTGCAATAGGGAAACTACATTGCTGATGACTGTCTGTTACGGTTTGTAACATACTGATGCTAGTTTAGCATTATAGCATTTTTTTAAGTTTTTTTATTTAAAGCTCCTCCATTTGAAGAATTAACTGGTTATCAGCTAGGCCCCTGAAGATAGAAAGTTGGGGTTTCAGCCTTAGCCAACTTATAACAATCTGGTCCTCCCTGCTCACGTTTGGAAATTTTAAAACAAATCAATGGCCATAGGGCACATATGAACCTGCAATCAAAATGTCATTTCCAATCCCCAAACATTGTCTGCTAAGTAAGCCGCCTTGTTGTTCTCCATTGTAAAACTGATTTCAAATCAACTGCTCCAAAAAGAATACAGTATATCTACACGTGAACATCAACCAAACAGCTGTTTTCGAGATATCCTTCGTGCTACCTGACTTACATTTTTTTATTCTATCAAGACCAACAAATTCAACAGCTTCTGGACGGCAAAGCCAATCTCTGACATCCCCACCTGGAGCTTTACCCCAGAATTCCACATTAAATTTGCCCTGGTTATCAGTTGGGACAGAAGAATATGGCGATGATCAAATAGATGTTTCCTAATTTGTTGAACTTGGATCGAAGTACCATACTTTATGTTTCTATTTTCCATATAGACATTTCTGTGTTAATGTACGGTATGGAAGCTTAAGTTTGAAAATGATCCGCATTTGCATTTATAACTTACTTTAAATTATTTTTTATAACAAGAAGACATTTTCACATTAAATCAAACAAAAACTCTACGTATAAATGAAATGAAATTCCTTTCCTGAAGTTAAAATACAAACCTTAACTCTTTCACCCCTAGGTAACTTTAGTAGATTCTACCATGTATTTATGGGGGTGAGTCCATTATGGTCTACGGTGGTGAAAAGGTTAATTAATACGTTATTGCTTAATATGGATTCCAAAGAAAGTAAATATATCATATGCATTCAAATATATCAAGTTTGCACCGGAGACAAATCAATCAACTATCAGGTTCCGTTAGATGAGTAAGATTGTATATATATATCCATACCAGTTTTTGGCACATAATATAATTGCTATTGTGGTTGTATTAGAAGGAAACAGTGAGAAAGTGGTTGGCAGATTTATGTGAGCTATCAGTTTGATCAGTGACTTCCTTCCTGATACAAGAATTATTCACCATATCTTAAAAGATGGTTTAAAACTACATTAAGTCACATTGATTGTGTTCATTATTCAAAGTTATACCAACTTAACAAGACATACCGCCTCGATGATGTATGCTACCCAACACATTAAACAAGAGGCCCATGGGCCTTAACGGTCACCTGATATATTTATACAGAGAGTTGATTTTGTTTTTAACATGAACAGAAATATTATTCAAAGTGACAAAAAAACAATAAAACCACCTTATTCAAAATCTAGCATACAGATTTCAGACTAAAAAGTATTTGAAACTAGCACCCCTGATTCTAAACAAGGAAAATAAAGAAATTTTGGCCCCACCCATCAGCCCCTGGGGGTCAGTCAAGGCTCATATGTGCATACTATCAAACTGCTACCTAATACTGATAATGCTAACCCAAATTGAATTACTTCCAATGGAAATTAAACAAATGTTGGTCCAAAATGTGATTTCCCTATATAAACTATAGTAAAGTTTACCCCCTCCCCAGGGGGAAACTAGAGACCCCAGGGTCAAGAAATTCACAATTTCGGTAAAGCACCTTAAGACCCTTCCATCTATGAAGAGTATTTGATTCTACCATATCTGGGTCTTGAGAAGAAGATTTTTGAAATTTCAGTCAATTCAACCCTTTTTGGCCCCACCCATCAGCCCCTGGGGGTCAGTCAGGGCTCATA